ATTCTTGTTTGATATGCATTTAGGTGGTGTACCTAATATATACCGTTTGTAAACAAAGTGTCCATGCACCAGTAATTTTTTAGTATTCTTTCTTATCATCTCTTTTATTTCAATTTAAGTAATTACAAAAATATTTCAAGTAAAATTGGCACAAAAATATCATTTTATTATATAGATCTATAGGATTTTAAATATAGGATCGAGAAATTATATAAAAAACTCTCCATACACTAGTGGTGGGTTTATACACGAGAATAAGGATAAGGCTTAAGGCATAAGAATAACGCTTACGGAATAACGCCTAATGGGGTGTTTACAAAGCAGAATAAGGAACAATATTATTTTATGTACAGCCAATCAAATGGAAGCATAGGCTTAAGAAACAATAGGGATGTGTCTGTTGATGTCAACATTAGCGCGGTAAAATACCAATAAAAGCTTATTTCACTTAAATATTGTACATTAAAATGGATTTGTCCACTGAAGAAGTGGTAGTTCTTTTTGGATTAACAATTTCGTTTTCTAACCTCACAACGTGCACACGTAAATACGATGTTTGGCGGTCACGTGATATATTGGAATATAATTTATCTTACAAACTGCGCATGCCTCATGAGAATAACACTGAAATGCATCCGTTTATACGATGATACGATGGTACGAAAGTGTTTCTATTGGTCAGAGATTTTAGCCGTTCGTACGATCCCGATTTCTAGGTGTCCCATGTATACGATAACCTTGGATTGTGAACGATAATCATGCTTGCCGGATTTACAATTTTATCTTACCATACCGAACAACCTCAAGTTCAGTTCTACGACTGAAAAATAATCAGCAATAAACAGGGTTGGCTTGATTTTTTTCAAGTGATTTCAATCATGATTTAAATCACCTGACTTTATATTTCGACTCAAAAAATATAAAACAGAACACAAATAATTCTAAGAAATGAAAATTAAAATAGAAAACGGTACATGTGAACTTAAAAATTAAACGGTAGTATGTAATGGTAAACTCAATAATACTAAAACGGAAATCACTTCTTTTTCTCTTCATTTTCGTTATAAAGTCTGAATAGGAACACTAATTTCCCTCCTTTTTCGATTCCCAATCTGTTCCTCATATCCGAATGAACAAATCCGAATGTGCTGAACATCCTTTCGACAGACGCAGAAGATGCAGTTGCACAAAGAAACTGTTTTATAGTAGGCAAGTGTTTCGCAATTTCCGGTTCATCTCTCTGTGATAGCCACCACTGAAGTCCGTTCATATTTTTCAGCACCTCATCAGAAAACATAATTTATTTGAAAGGACTGCAGCGAGCGTTGAATTTAATAACTAGTAGCAACAACAGGCTTAACATGTAAGCAATAAAGTGATAAGGTGTAAGAGCTTGCTTATAGCGATGTTGACACTTCTGTAGTTTCTCTAAAGATAAATTTTGAGATTCTTCAAACTTATCTTGCAAAAGTTTCCACTGCTCTACGGCAGCAGGTACTGGGACATTTTTCTTCTGGAGTATATCTAGAGCAACAGCAATAGGCTTCAGAAGGCTCAGATACTCTTGTGCTGCATGCTTCAGTTCTTTGTTTGAGACTTTTTTGAAGATAGCAGAATCGATATCTTTTGAGTTATTCTCGCAAATCTTGAGAATGATGTCCCATTGTTTGACATACGCTTCCAAACAGTCGACCACGCTGTTCCAGCGAACATCGCTAGGTAGTACTAGTCCCTTGCCTCCAGCTGCACTAAATTTGGCTTTGGCCATGTAATTGTTGCGGAAATATTTGACAATTTGGACTATGTGTTCTTTGACATCTTGCACCTGTAAGTCCTTACAAAGCAGATTTAGTAAATGCGAAGAGCAACGATAAGTTATAACTTCAGAGTTCGTCCGTTCTAACGTTTTCCTCATTGTGGTCATATTAGCGGCCTTGTCCGTTACAAAAGATCGCACTTGACACTGGAATTTTGTTTGACACGAGGAAATTAAATCGCACACTAGATCAGTAAGGTATGTCGAAGTATGAGGCTTTCCAGAAGTATCAATGGTTTCATAGAGAAGCGCTCGTCCATCTCCCGTTGTTAATGTTGCGCATATGACCGGCTCGTTGTGACCATCCGTCAATCGACATGTTAACTCTTTTCCCCGAAAGAGATGAAAAACATGCCTCTTTTTCTTCAGTATAAATCTCATCCAAAAGGCTCGATGAGTCCGTTTTTCGAGAAGGAGGACTCTATCCAGGTCTCAATAGATGAATGGCTTTCTTGACTTCCGAGTTCTCGATACATCTAAATCTTTTTAATAAAAAATTTTTAATTTTAATAAAAATAAAAAAAATCATGATTTTTGATTAATTTAAAAAGTTTCGCTTGAAGCAAATGATTCATATCGTGGGCTTAAATCTAAAACTGTCTAAAATATCAATTTTTGGTAAATGCGCTTTTAAACCGAGCCAAAAATTATATCAGAATCCTTTTAGAAACTGGGTCATGAAAAACATTTTTTAGGGCACACACACCTTTGAACACAAATACTTATGGAAATTTTGGACCTGGCCACTTTCAGCGTTAAACCCACCATATTTCTTTACAAACGTCTCATTTAAGTCTGTTTTTTTGTAGTAAAACAAAAATGAGTGCTAAGAACTGCAAATTCTTATTTCTGTTAGAAAAATCATCGTAGATTTGTGGACGAAGAAAGAATGTTTTAGAAATATTGACAAAATAATTGGACAATTACATGCCACTGTACAGTACCTACTTAATAAATCAGTACAAATCTACCGGTTTCCATAAGTGCGGCCTCGCTCTGGTCGTCCCATAATCACGGGAAAGTCTAATGTAGTTAGTCAATTAAAAATAAGTTCACCAAGATTTTCAGAAGAAATGAAGGAAGAGTTCTCTCAAAAACTGATAGTCCGTAATCAATAAGAAACTGCTTGCATCGAGAAGGTTATAACGGTCGCGTTGCGACAAGAAAACCATTAAGAAACGAATAGAATTTGCCCGACAACATGTTAACAAAACCAATAAGTTTGGGGAATGTGTTATTTTTAGTGATGAAACAGAGATTAATCTTTTGGTTAGATGTACGGGATAACGTCTGGMGGAAAAAATACACCATTAAAAATCGAGTAGTATTCASTCTAGATTGAAGCACGGAGAAAGTAATATCTTATTATGGGGTACACGTTAGCCAATGGAACATGCGATTTAGTTTTCATTGACTGTATTATAGACCAACGTACCTTTTTAAATATTTTAAGCAATAATTTGCAAGCAAGTGTTCAAAAACTGGACCTTGGAAGGCGTTATTTAYTTCAACAAGATAATGATCCTAAGCATACTGCTATCTTTGTACGTGAATRATGATACATARTGTCCACCAACAACTTAATACACCACCGCAATCACCGGAGATTAATCCAATGGGTATATATACTATACAACTATASAAAATAKTTAAGACTTTAAGAAAGCAACMATTTTTCAAAAGAGTTGTCAGTGTATGGAGACTTTTTTATATAATTTTTCGTTAAAAATATTATTTTATATTTTATTGTTCAAATAAAGTGTTTCATATGGCTTTACTAGTAATTTTATTACTTTTAAGGCGCCTGCCAACATTTACTTTTATGATTTTTCTAGTTACACTTAAATAAAATAGCGAACGTCCAAACAATATTGAAAAATAACTGATGTATGGACACTTTTTTTACTGAATATATATACCTATCTAATGCAATAATTATTTCCATTATTAATATCCCGTTATTACAATCTACTTAATTTTAGGGTTGAAAAATATCGTCCCAGTACTTTAGACGATTTAGTGTCTCATGAGGATATTATAAAAACGGGTACGTTTAATAATTTTCTGTTAAATATTCTTGTAAGTATATGCCCGCTGAACAATTTTTTTGGTTCAGAAATATTTTAGAAACGTATATTTAAATCCCGAAACGTTTCAGTTATCTGCACTATATGTTTCATGTTTGAAATGTTGAAATGTTCTCATATCTCTTTCAACAACTTAACTTAAGTGTATATCATAAAGAGAACCTAGATAAAATTGTTTTAGCGTTTTTGATGAAGATATTTTTGTTTAATACACTTCAACGTAAATTTGGTAGTTTCTTCAGCATGTTTAATTACGACAAAGTATTTAACATATTTTGATAAGTTTTTTTAAATATTTATGTACTTTTCAGTTGGTAAATTTATTAAAGAAGATCAAGTGCCACACTTGTTATTTTATGGACCACCAGGAACAGGAAAAACAAGCACAATTTTAGCTTGTGCGCGACAACTTTATACCCCATCTCAGTTTTCGTCCATGGTAAGTAGTATTGAAAAATACAATGGACTGTGAGATGCATTTAACGCTCTATGTAATTAAACCGTCTATATCTGTAACATGGTTTTTTTAAGTTGGAAGTTTTTAACTAGTGCTTAGAATGTTTAAAGTCTGAAATTCGAAAACTCGTTTACTGGTTTATTCGAATAGTAAAATTATTCCAATATTCGAATATTCGTTAGATATTCGAGTATTAGAATATTCGAGTATTCGTTTTCCGTTCACCGTTTTCCAAGAAGAAAAATCTCAGATCTCATATCATTTTTGGCCACTAGCCGCAACGGATAAAAAAGTGCCTTTGTCGGCACATTAATAATATTGCGCGGTGTTACAATTATTGTAACACCGCGCAAAAGTTGATGACGCGAATCACCAGAACACAGAGACGTAATTTTATATTACTGTAGTACTGTCTCGAATTCCATTCCTTGAAACAAATAACATGTTCAAGCAACCTTTCTGAAAAACTTAAAACTGATAAAGTTAGATTAATTTTTCACAAAGCAAGACCACCATTCTGTCTAAGGGCACCCGCAGACCAGCGACTTTTGTAGCGCGACAGTTTTGACGCTGAATATGGAAGTAATTATTTTAAACAGTCGCGCACACGATCGACTTTTTATAGCCGCTTCTAGCGACTGCGGGCGAGAGTCCCCGACGATGGAACTTGTTCCATTCGCAAGGTTAGACGCAGCAAATACTATAGACTATAATACATTCAACTCAGTGTTAATTTTGTGGAAACTGTACGGATTGAAGTACACAATGTTTATAAGTGACATTTACGTTTATTACTGATACTACATGACATTTATATCAGTCATTTAATAATATCATTCCAAGCCCGACATTCGAACACGTGGTTGAAGAGGAAGTCTGAGTTGTCGTTTTATGTCAAAACGGCGTTTTAAGCACAGCGTAGATACCTGTTCCTGGCTCCCACAGTACTCCCCTCCGAATAACTTAGTTCGGGGCAAAACCAACATTTTTGCGCAAACCACGATATGTTCGGACTGGTGACGGTTCGGCATCGTCTTCGACTAGTTGATAGGCAAATTTCTTCCATTGACCTGGATTTTGTAAAGTTGGTCGCTGATTAACGCTTGACGACAGAATGTGGACCGGTGTAGGGTTGTTCCAGTGCTCTTTTAACTTTGCTCCTTGATCAACCATGTCGACTAGCAGGCTGCGATCGCATATTTTCAATATTGGATCGAAATTTGTTTGCACTGAATAGCGCCCCATACACGAGCGAAATATGTGTCATATCTGATCGTATTAATATCGTTTTTCATAAAACCGCTCAGAAGGAAATAGCAAAGGTTTCGATGTGACGACCTTAGTGCTGAAGCAACTGGTCCTTAAATCTTCGTGATGTAGTGGTCGAACACGTTGAACAAGATAGTTACACAACTGATTTGCTCGCAACGATGTCCATGCTTCTTTTAAAATTTAGTTTGACCTCATTTGCTGCACTATCACTGCACTCGAGTATTTGTTGGATCTTGCTCAACAACATGTAAAATGTTGATATTCAAATTGCCCATTTTCAGCTCTTCTCGGTTTTCCTACGATATGTTTTGGCAATTAATAACTCATTCAGTCAAATGGAAGATCTAAACCCAAGAAACTGGAAAATGTAGCAAAAACAACAAAAAAAAGCGAAAACGTCTAAAAGATTAAAATGTACAATATTCTTAAGAATCTTCTTATCTCATTGACAAAAGTTATTTGAAAGTATGGTTTGTTTCAATGACTTCTGTATACAGTTTAGCAAAAATTAACTTAGGAGTATATAATATTCTTATAGAGTCGCTTCTTTTTGTAGGTACTGGAACTAAATGCATCGGATGATAGAGGTATTGGTATTGTCAGGGGACAAATTTTGACTTTTGCTAGTACGAGAACCATTTTCAAAAAAGGTTTTAAAGTAATCATTCTTGATGAAGCTGATGCCATGACTATGGATGCTCAAAACGCTTTAAGGAGAAGTAAGTTATTTGACCTGTAAAGTTGAGCATTGTAGTGTCATATTTTTATCAATTCTAGTTCTTTTAAGCACTGAACTGAGTTAGTTGGGTATACAGTAGGTCACTCTATGCCCAACTAATTTGTAATGTTTGAATTATCAAAATAATTTTCTAACGGTCTAACTTGCAACATAAAGAATTCCGTTAAAGGTTAACAACTTTTATAAAACGCATATGCATGTATATGATTTTTGTGAATCAGTTTATTGAACACAAGTATTTTTCCTAAGCTAAAAAAAATCAAAGTGTGCAAATGGTCTTAACCTAGGCCTGGGTAACACTGTATTGTGTGGCGCTTTCGTGTTGATGCCGCTCTGTGCGTCAATGCGTTCGAACTTCTCGCCGCTTACGGTGTAACACCTTGAACCTTGAATAACACTTCACATTTAATCTCATTCAATATCGCATTCATCACATTATTCGCGACACTCTCGGCAGGAAAAAGTTAATAACCTACACCAGTTCGCAGAGAGAAGGAATAACGGGATGACAGGATTCCCATGTTAACATTGGAAAAAAGCCCCCCACCCCGCACGGGGTGTTGAGAGATCTGACGGATTTCGCACGGGCTTTTTAAAATTTTCGGTAGAAATACAAACTAGCCAAAGTTTGATCAAAGCTAATTTTTTAAATATAAAGATAAAGAAACGTACATGAAATTTCAAATTAGAAAATGTAATAAATTTAACTAACATCCAACACTAACTGGGTGTTTATTCAAATTACTGAACCAAATTTTTTGCTGTTTCATCTAATGGGAAGCTGAAAAATGTTTCTCACTACGCAAAATATTTACTTATCTGTTACGGGCCAGCCTCATAAGCGGTGGGGTTATAATCATCATCATCATCATTTTCAGCGTGTCTCGGTCCATCCTTGCACATACGCTTCTCCAAGTTGTCTCAATCCCGTTCTGTCAGCTGTTCTACTCATCCATTTCACTCCCGCTTTCCGGATATCGTTCTTCCTCCTAGTATTTGGTCATCCTGGGTTTCTTCTGTATCCCCTTGGTCGCCATGCGGTCACTTTCTTTGTCCATCTTTTGTCCTCCATTCTCATGATATGTCCCGTCCATTTCCACTTCAGACTTGCCACGTGTTCAGCAATGTCAATGACTTTGGTTTTCTGGCAGATCCATTCGATGGTTTTTCTATCTCGCAGTCGTATTCCCAACATACTTCGTTCCATCCTTTGTGCAATTCTTAGTATATCCATTATTTTGCCGTTTAGAATCCACGTTTCTGTGGCATAGCTTAGGTTGGTAGCACACATTGGTTGAAGACCTGGGTTTTGAGGTGTTGTGGAACTTTTCTGTTCATTTCTGCCAGCTGTATGTCCTTATCAAAGGATATTTTCTGTCAAAGATATATGTATTGAGCGACGACCTGCACCACACTGTTGTCACCCAAATCAACCATCGTAACGTCAAGCGAGTTTGACATTATTTTTGTTTTACTCGCATTGATCCGGAGACCGTGACATTTTGTCTGCGAGAAGTACGATGTCCTCTGCAAAGCGTAGATTATTCAAGTGTTCACCGTTGATGTTAATGCCAGCATTTTTCCAACCGAGCGTTTTGGATATATCCTCTATGTAGTAAATCGTTTCGGCGAGATTGTTGTCAGGATAATCGCTTACGGTCCAACTATGCATACGGACGATAGTCTCTCTTCAGTAAAACGAAAGAAAAAGCGATTGAGCGCGCACCGCTTAAAAGCCCAGGAGCCCAATTCTAGAAACTGATGATCGGCGGTCTCATGAGAAAGGAGGGCGCGGTTCTCTTGTGAAGCGAATATTCGTATTCTCGAACGCAATCGAGTAAACCCACCACGCAACTTCAGTAGAACAAGCCTCTCTTACCACACTCTCTTACACTGTTTCTAATACCCCATTTTTTTCAATACGAATTTTGCGATTAATGAGTATTTTAAAGAAAACAATTTAGTGAAGGAACTTCTTAGTTGTTTGTAAAATATGAGCCATCTTATGGGTTTACTAACAGAAAGTACAGCTATCTTGTATGGAATAGTTCTCAACAATTTTCAGGGTAAGTTTTAGAGTTCGTAATCGTGTATTATAGTAGAAACAATTTTAGAATTACTAAATTTGTAGTTGCATAGGAATCAGAAGAACATCCCCCGCGGCACTTGTATCTATCAATTAACGCTTTTGATATAAGTGATGAAAAAATTGTCAAGCTTTTAAGACTAAATAAGCAGCAGGGGCTTCAATTAATAGATCAAGTGACCGCATATCTTTGAGCACCAAGCAGAATGTCTTCTATAAAAATAAAAGTAGGCCGCCGGAAGACTGCAAAGATAAATTGTCTGTTATAAGTATAAAAATAAAATTCTGCATAATCAAAGTCCTTTTTTAATAAAATATCATAATTTTTTTCACTTCTTCACTATAAATTTGTTTGGGTTGTTTTGTTGTCTATTTATAATGAATAATTGCAAATACATATTAAAAAAAAGAATAACTTACTTATTTTATATTATTATTTTCTGACGTTTCGCAAGCACGAGTGACTTGCATCCTCAGAGGTGGTTTGCTTGAGAGCTTACACTGTACTGACTCCGTTTCTCGGGTGAAGTCCGTATTTATGCTCCGGTAGTGATGACGTGGCTTGTGTCATCTGCATCGGCGCATTATGTTGTTTGTCGTTATGCTCCCGTGTAGTGGATTATTCTTCATGTCCTGTTCCGTTTCCTTTTCTTGCTGGCTTTGCGTTGGTAAGCGCCGGAAACCATATCCGGTTTAACGCCATTGTCTCTTCTTTCCTGTTGAAGTTGTCGCTGTTTTTTTGTTGTGAGAATTTCAACGGCTTCTCGTATTAGTCGGGGGCGATACCCTGTTGTTGTGGCCAGAAGTTGAGTTCTGGGTTTGAGCCAGAATTGCAAATTTAATACTGTGTGCTCCCTCTCTGAGGGCATGTTGCGCTGGCGACTTTTCCACATATCCCAATTTGCCATTTCGTCGATCTCCTTCGATCCTTGTCTAAACCAGTCTCTTAGTGGTTCTTATGTAGACGCTTTCACAGGTCTTCTGTTCTTAACCGACCTTAGATCTTCGTTATGGGCTTTGTTATAAATTCTTATTTTTCCTCTCGGGCGTGAGTATGAGCGGGAGCTAGTATTTCGCGGCTAGCGTGAAAGATTTTCGAACGATCGATGGACGACACAAAATCACGCACACTCAAGTTCCACGGAACAACTGATATATTAGAATAAAATCAATGATCTTACAATAGATAACTTTGAACATAACCTTGATGATAATTAGTTGAAGGAGAGAAAAAATAGAACTGAGTTGTGTAGGAGAAAAGCTGGTGTAGGGGAAAGCTCCTGAAAAAGGGGACCGTCTGGAGTGATCACTTCAGTAGGGAACCTCTCAGCTCTTCCAATGAATAGCGGTTGTTGATATGTGAACAAAAAAAGATCCACAGTCAAAGGGGCACCAAAATACTAACGGAAATTACCCAAGCTCGGCTCCAATCAAATTTAAAATAGTAATAGAAAAAAAACTTAAGGAGGTGGCAGTTGAACCTAAGTGTTTCCGCTACAAATTAAAATTAATTAACTGAACAACACTCAATGCAGGATGAACCTTAACTGAATACAATTTGTGATTAAAAAAAAACTTGAAATGAAGTCACTAGAAAACAAAAACAATACGATTGTCACAAGCAGTTGGGCGCCAGTATGTTGTTTCAGTAACATACAACTCGTTTTTAATCGGAGGTCTCGATCTCAAACTTCAACCACCATTGGTAGTCTCAAGACCAAAATACACAGGAGCTCTGTAGCACGGTAACTACGTGGTCCTGCGTGGAATTAGCTTGTCTTCAATGGAAAGCTCTCCAGGAATAATCTCGATATATAATTCACAAAAATGTACAAAAGAACCGACCATGCGGTGCGAATACCCCAAAAATTGACTTCTCTCGTCTATATCTCGACCTCGAATCTGAATTTGTCCGACACCAAAAATCCTCTCTTCTTTTTCACGGTAAATCAAAATCATGGACTCGATTGGTCATCCTGACGAACATGTGATCAGCTCGCTATGTGGTCGATAATTTTTGTACCGAGATAAGGCTGGTAAAACCTTCTCGGTTTTCGGTTTTAATGGCAAATTCGAACTCCTTGACAAAACAATTATATTCAAGGCGCATTCGCTTGGCTACAATTAAAAATGAACGTAACAGCTTGTAGATTCTTTTTATGTTATGCCTTCCTAGGTTCTTCCCAATTCTGTCCGTAACTCTAGGAATGAAAGGCAGAAAGGGCACTTAAGTGGTTTTACTCTTTTCTGCACGGTTCACCCCCTACTACTCTTTTGATGTCAATATGAGAGTATCCGTTTTTAATCAAAAACCCTTTTCAAATGTTGTAGTTCCGCTGTTAGGTGTTGTAGCCCACATTTTCCTGGCTCTACCCGTGAGAGTATTGACGATTCCTTGCTTTTGACTCGGGTGATGTTTGGATAGCTTGTGGAGATATCTGTCCGTGTGGGTGACTTTTCGATCTACCTGATGGTCCAATAAGTATAGGATACTTTCGAAGCACATTCAGGCGAACTGCAGAAAGGACAAAAATGATCATCTCAATAATATCTGCAAATAAGATTGAGAACTACTTGCAAATACCACACAGCCGAAAGATGCGTTTGCGAAGATAAAATACATACCCCGCAAATTCCAGCCCCGCACCTGGGCGATCTGCAACCCAACGGCAACCTAAAAACAGACATAGATGAGGTCACAGAAGTCTGGAGGAAATACTGTGAGGATCCCTACAGGGACGAACATATTAAAGGAGGTACACGCGGCCATCAGGAGACTTGCAAAGGATAAGTTCCCTGGAGTTGATATGGTTACTGTGGATATTCAAAAAACACTGAGCGATGAAGGAATACAAGTAATACACTTGATCTGCCAAACAATATGAATAACAGTGTGAGTGTCGCCCAACGAAAGGACAACCTCAATTATTATTTCCCTGCACAAAAAAGGGGCAACATCCAATTGCGGTAACTACCGTCTTATCGCTCTTATGCCCCATGTAAGCAAAGTCATGCTCCACATTATAAATTCTAGACTACAGGCTTTCGCTGCTTCGCAAATTGCTCCTGATCAGGCTGGGTTTCTTAAGGGACGTGGCACAAGAGAGCAGATACTGAACTTGCGCCAACTGATAGAGAAGGCTAGGGAATATTACACGCCCATGAATACCTGCGTGGTTGACTATGTGAAGGCTTTTGATAGGGTTAAATGGCAGAAATTGTGGCCAATCCTCATAGAAATGGGAGTGCCAAAGCATATCGTCCTTCTGATTAGGGGTTTGTAGGAAGAAAGCACCGCTGTGGTCAGAGTCGATATACATCTATCGGCCGCATGTAAAATAAGGAAAGGTGTAAGGCAGGGTTGCGTATTTTCACCACTATTGTTTAGCCTATACAGCGAGAGTATCATGCGCTACGTATTGGATGACTGGGACGGAGGAGTAACAATAAGCGGGAAGAAAATCTCCAATCTCCGATTCGCGGATGACACACTGCTACTGGCGCGCAGCGAAGATGAACTCTGAGTTTAGAGAACTGAGCGCGTGAGTCTGGAGTGTGGTCTTCGAATAAACATCTAGAAGACGAAAGCGATGATTGTTGACCTCTCAAATGATGACTGGCCAAATATCCTTAAGGTCGGGAAATATTATGTCGTCGAGCAGTTTATATACCTGGGTGCCATTACTAATAGCAAGGGATGCCGTGAACCCGAAATAAGGTATGGAAGAATAGCAACATAACACGTAACACGAAGATCAACCTGGTCCATGCGCTGATCTTTTCTGTATTTGCGGCGGAGACACGGACACTGCGTGCTGCTGATTCGTTCGAAATGTTGTGGTGGAGGAAAATGTTTGGAATACCCTGGACTGCACGACGTACCAATATCTCTTTTCTTAACGACATCAAACCCAAACAGGTAATCGCAAGTCTGATTTACTCTGATCTGATCGCATATTGAAGTTTTTCGAACATACAGGGTGATTCAAAATTGGCGTCATTCCTCTGGAGGTGTTTGGCGCTGTTATAGGAGTACAAAGAAAATAGTAAAATACATTAATTGTTAAAATACATTAAT